GAGATACTGACACACACACACACTCACACACACACACACACACACACACACACACACTCTTTGTTCTCCATCCTCCCGGCTGTGAGCTCCTCTCCAGGCATTAACACATTCTTATTTTCTCCTCACTGGGAATCAAACCACAGCTGGATATCTTTCTCTCGCCTTTTCTTGCTCTGTCTCATATATTAGCTGAGTGAAGACGAACACATACACAGATATTTGTAACACAAAGCATACCACAACAACCTTTACTTGCTTCAGGGTGCTCTTTTGTGATGCCGCATTTGGTGGTGAGAATCAGCTGTATTAGCCCATTATAGCTGAATTTGACTCTGTGTTTTCCTTTATTCTCCACATACTACATAAACAAAAAAATCCAAAAAAATAACCAAGAACAGAACAAAAGTTAAAACGGATGATGGTATGAATAGTGATAAAAATATAGATATAAATATAACAATATCCAAATATATATATGTAAGAACATCCCTTAAACATTTAGCACAACAACAGTGAAATTGGTGAGAAGCAAACGGAGGTGTTGGGGGGGGGGGGGTCCTCCTGAAGTCCACTGTTATCCCCACAGTTCTCCCCTTGTTCAACTCCAGGTTGTTCTGACCCCCCAGAGGACCAGCTGGTCAACTTCCAAACGTTCAAAAAGTTTGGGTCCTCCGGTGTGCAGTTAATGGTGCAGAGGAGGGATACTTTTCGACCAAATCTTGGCGATCTACGGACCGCCTCCCCCAAGCCCTCCCTTCACCCGACTACTAAATAAATAACAATAAAGAACAACAATAACGAGTCGCAGCGGTAACCAAACGCAACAACGACGCTGCACACCGTCAGCACAAAACGAGTCGAGGGAACCACCACAACCACCTTACTGGGATGACTTGCACTGATTGGTGTCAGCCACGGATGCTTTTGAATGCAGATAAATGTTTGCATTGGTAAGCAAAGGTCGCTAATTAGCAACACTAAGCCTGGGTGCGTGGGGACCCAACGAGATTATTTTTCCAATGGCAGGCGATCTGGCCGGTCTGAGGTACTACCGCTTTAGCCCAACCAGACTGCCTAACTGAATGTATAATAAGTGGACAAAATTATTAAAACTGGTTCCACACCGAGCAGCCACCAGTGAAGTGCTGTATGTATTGTACATCAGAATTAACATTCTAATAATGTAAAATCGGCTACAATATGTAACTAAAAAGGTGCGTAGCTTTGCCAGGCGCGTCAGCAACTGGTCCAGTAGTTTTGCGCGGTTGAATGAATGCAACCCGAAACTTTTTCTGACCCCTTTTTAAGTACGACTGGGCTGTGAGGCATTAAAGGACTTTGAGTCATAACGGAGCATTTATATAATTAGGGGATTGGTGCTTTGATTTAAAAAAGGCTGTGAATAATTGACAGGTTAACCTTTGCTGTAGTCATACTTATATCGGTCAATAACAGTGGATACAAGATATGGATGTGTTGAATTTGTGATGAGTGATATGTCATCACAATGATAGAGTTAGGACATTAGAACAGCAAAGCATGGTCCACATCACCTGGCCGGTGGGAGTAGACATAGAGCGTCTTCTGTGGGTGGTCGGCTATTTGGCCGTAGGGGAACAGACGTCTGGACTACCAACGTCCCCCACTAAAGCTCCACCTATTAGCTTTAATTTACCAGAGACCGACTGAATCCGCTACAAACATTGTATAGTGGAATTATCATCTCATCAGCATTTTACTTTTGTATTTTTATGAAGCCCACAGTCAAATAATTACGTGATGATTGAGCTTCCAACATTTGGTGCTTGACGTGCAACAAGAAAAGGTTATTATCATCATCAATGAATGCCTTAATTCTCTCTGAAGCATTAGGACACATGGGAGTTTTTAAAAACAATTAAAGCCCTGAATTACGTTCATTATGTGGTTAGAGGGTTCAGAGGAGAGGAAAAGGAAGAGAAGGGTAAGATTGGGGAGGAAATGAGGAAGAGGAGGGGATATGAGTAGAAAGGAATGAAGTGGAGTGAGGGGAGGCTTTACTTAAACTGTCTGAATGAAAGTGTCTTCACCCCCGGACACAGTGAGAAACTCCAAAGGGGAGGGCTGTATGGAAAGCATCAAATCATGAAAAAAACACCACCCTGACATGTCAATTAACCGAGACCCCCAGGCCCCAGGGCAAGTTCCCATCAGAAGCGGATCACAAGTCCACGGTTGGCTCCGGAAATCGTGTTTATCAAGAAGCTAAACAGCTGGAAACCAGAAAACATTGAAGGAATCCATTGCTGGCTGCAATGTGGTCTGATCGTCCTCTGAAAAACTCTAATATGGTGTTTTCTAAGAGTAATCACATGGCCTGATAACGCTTTATCTTTCTTCCCAGCAGCAAGTCACGCCAGGGTTTTAATGGCTCAAACTCCGTCAGGAAGCAACATAAACAGACACATATTGTAACTCCTCGCCTTTTAATTTCAAAGCCTCCTGTTTAACAAGACTTCTGGTGCAGAAAACAAAAGTCTGCCGTCACTTCTTTTTTCCAGGCAACCGCTTTTAATCCCGGTGGAGGGAGAACTCTTTCCAGTCTTTCTAGCCTAAAATTACGCATTCATGTTGTGTTTAATTTATAGGCTCTTTTGCACACGTTGGCCACATCACAGAGAACGTACGTTGTTTAGATTTATGACATTACACCGCGCAAAATGGCAGACGAGAATTAGTGAATGTTCACCGCTCCACTAAGAATCAATGCAACACAATTTGGCACATCTGCTTTGTACATTAATGTGAGTAAAATTGTAGATGGCATATCATGGAGCTAATAAGACTTTATGGTTTGGTACAATTTTCTTACTTTGTTTATTCAATTGTCATCTGTTTTGATGGCCTTGTTGTCCCAGATGGTCTAAAGGTTTGGGAGGACATGGGAGGATAGACAGAAGCCCTCCGGAACGCCGGCCGGAACGCCGACTGGAGGCTGTCAGCTGTGGAGTCAGCTGAACGCTGCTTTCCCGCCAGAACCATCCCGAGGCTCTCGGTGGTCTGTTTTTGATAAAGAGGTCTACTGAGTACATATTATCTGGTCAATTTGTACCGTCAGGATACGCAACAGGAGGCCTCAAACGCAAACCAGGTTTCAAACAATAAGTCCTCCTGGGGGGGAGCAGGCACAAGGTCACAGTTTCACACTGATAAGAACAGACAAACGAGACGAGGGACACACGTGGTTCAAATACACTGAGGAGGAGCAGGTGATTGGACACAGGAAGGAACACTTGGGGACAAGGAAGACAATCACAAGGGGACAAAGCTAACCGAGGGACACGAGAGGCAGTAAAGTACAAAATAAAACAGAAACAACACCGTGACACGCTCAGATTATTTAAAAATGTGCTAAAACAGTATTCAGTATTCAGGATAAAATGTGCACACTAATATCAGGGATTAGCACTTGTCATTTTCATGGAACTATTTTTTAGTGGTTTGCAATAGTACTTATAAAACACACACCAAATATGTTCTCTCTCAGGCGGCAAACCGTTAACCTTCCAATGGTTCAACACAACACATCACCATATGCACTTGTCAGGCAAGTAGTGGAAAGTCCCTGTAGAGCAATCTGTACCATTGGAGGACTTTGCTTATAAGGGTTTAGGGGTGCGGGCAGTTAGGGCTCGGTTCATACAGCGCTAGAGGTTCGACAGTGATGTTGCAAAGCCCTAGGAGAAGTAGCAGCACGTAGCGGAGGGAAAAGCAGGGTATGAGTCGGTCAGCTGGAGACAGTTGGCCAGTAGGGAGTCATCAGCCAGCAAGACAACAGTTCTGAGCAGTGCTGTAATGTATTTGGCAGAGATAGAGCAGTGACGGCGTTAAATGCTGACGCACTGAGAGAAAAGCCTGGCGGCTTCTGCTGTGCCGTTGCTCTGCCCAGATGTACTATTCTACCCTGGAAGGACAATTACTGCACTGAGAGACACAACACAAGAAACACAGAAACCACTGAAGTGCAACGTAAAAGAAGTTTCTAAAGGAGTTTTATATCTAATGTGTGGCAGTTGAGGCAGGCGAGCGGAAATCAATCAGTTAAAATATTGTCGGCTGTAGGAGTGTAGGCTGTAACAGTGATAAGCTGTGGTTGAGTGACCCAGGTGTGCGTTAAAGTCATTACCTACTGTTTGTCCTCTAGCTATTGTACGTAAAAGTTAACTGAGTCAACAATATTAATATTTTTATCATCCAGGGTCTAGTCTTTCATTCATTCTACCCAGCTAGAATTGTACGCTTTCATGGTAGTAGTGGTGATTAGTAATGTATTAGCATTAATATTTTTCTGGGTGAAGGTAATTTCTAGTCGATAAATCCACTGTGTCTTTCTCACACCTACTGTAACTGTAGATCTAAAGCCGTGCTCGGACTCGCATCTGGAAATTCTGGCAAAATTCAGACTGCATGCTCATCAACGGTCGAATATCATTACCTTCTAAATGTAAAAACGGAATGGTGCTGCTTTAAACAGTATGTCTATTCATTATAAATTCTTCATAAAATGAAAGAAAGACCGTAAGTTGCTTTTTAACAATGTCGGGATCGCTTGCCTTCAGTTGCATAGTGAGCTGTTACTGTTTTACTGTTACTCCCCCGTGGGATGCAGCAGCATCTTGCTTTGAACTTGAGAAACAAATGAGACCAGATGGAGGAAGCCAATGAGAGAAAGGGCCCCAAGTCCGGTAGAGGAGTGTTTAGTATCGAGGTTATAAAAATAAAAGGCTTCAGGTGAGCATCTCTAAATGGCTTTGGAAGAATCAGCTTGCATCAGTGTCGGTGCTACTGGGATACAAGCCACGCTTGCCTTCAAATCTAGCAGAGTCGCCTGGTTGAGGTCGCCTGACCTGAAAGACCATCAACACCCGATGATCCCAGGTAACATCACTGATGGTGTGTCCCAGTAGATCCCAAGATCAATTCAGTAGATGATTCAAATAATGAAATGCAAAAAGCCACCAGCGAATTAAAACACTTTTATTTTCATTTGGTACAACACAAAAGTGCGTTATGATAACACTGCCCATGATTAGCCCGGCGTGAGGACAACTCATGGTTCACGTCTTTGTCTCAACCTCGGATTAGAACTTCTCCTTATTGTGTGTAGTATTATGTCAATCAGTTTGTTTTGTAATCGCTCACTCAAGGCACTTCACAACTTTAAAATACATCATTTGAAGAATATTCTATTCAGTGCAACTGTTTGGATGTCAGTGTGCTTTGGCCAAAGCGTTTGTTGTATTAGGAGCTGAACACAGTAAGACTCAAAAAAATTATAAATAATGATGAACTTAGATTTAAATGTTTTTACTGTTTTTGCAATCTAGGCAAATGGAATCACAGGAATTTTACACGTGTACTACAGAGAAATATCATAGAGAATTATCATACAGAAATATGTTGGTTTTCTCTCTAAGTAAAAAGAAAAACACAGGCACATCACTTTCCCTTGAAATCAATAACTTACCTCTACAAATTGCATTTTATTGTTGTTATTGCAGACAAACCCCCCAGCTCATAATTTCACATTGTTTGGTCAGATACACAAGTCATTGTCAGAACAGTTAAAAGTACACCAAAAACATTTTCCCATTCTTGAGTGAAAATAAAGAATCTTTGGTAGTGAAGAAAATTCAAAGAAAATGCCTAAACATAAAATGCATTGAAATACAAAGCAACAAGGAAGGCTACAGCAAATGGCTGACAAGAAGGAGAAATCCAGCTTTTATTTAATAAGGAACTGTCTAAAATAATATATCTAACAACACAGAAAGATCATAAATTACTTGAGACCTTCAGAATGCATCTGGGCAGCATCCTAATGCCTTGAATAGATGCAAAGAGAGCCACTGAGGTATTTGGACGACGGGAGGAACATAAAAGTGCATAAGAATTCTGCTCCCGGTCTACAGCAAAAACTGGACATTCCTTCCAAAATGCTGTTCCCTTCCATCAAGTGCCCTTATTCACATTCCTGTCATCGGGTAGTTATTTTATCCTACTCAGGGAATAAAGTATTCCTATCACATTTGTTTCATCCTTTGCAGCTTATTCAACAGAATATAAAGAAGGAGAGGGATCCAGGCACACTATTTTGGCTACTGTGTGGGAGGGGTGGAAGAAATCAAGGACACATTGGGTGCAACAATCAATAAATCTTTGGATTAGAACATGGCCACCGTGTCGGATCAGCGGTTTTCATTCAACTTGGTAGAAAGAAATACATTAACAATAGAAGTGTTTTTTATTTCACAAAATATAACCATCATTCATATATAAAAAGAAAAAAGAAAAGAAAAACAAAAATTGTCTATTCTGTTAAAATAAAACAGTCACAGCAGCAATAGTACACGTCTCTCTTTTGGTCGCCTGTTCACCTTTTCACCTAATGCGGTGAGTGCTGTGTTTCATTTTAAACAGCAAATCAAGAAGGACAACCTGCACGAAACACCTTTGCACTACCATAGATATTGATTTTTACATTGCCGTATGTTGCCCTCCCACATGATATGAGTGCAACAAAAGAAAGTTTTAGACCCTTTTTCCTTTGCAAATGTATACTTCAGCTCTTCCTAATGCTTTGCCCTCAAAGCTAAAACCTCTGAATTTGCAGCATCTCTAAATGCATCATATCGTCTCGTGCATTTTTCTGCTTGCTTTCAATGCTTTAGTGGCTAACCGGAGCTGTTAATTAGATCCAGAAGAATTAGAAACTCATAATAAGTGATGGCAGTAGCCCATCCCACCACCTTTAGAGTTTAGAATGTAATCATCGACAGAGGAGACTAGAGATTTTAGTTAGACTTGAAGTTGAAGGCATGTGGCGCTATTGTTTGGCTCGCCGTGCCGGGGCCAACGTAATTCCATGGTCAGGATGTACAAGTGTTTCTTTGGGAAACACAACGTTGCTCTGGAGGTAAAATGCTCTTACCGCGATGGGTGGAAACACAAATTCCAGTTTCTTTGGCTGAGTTGCAAATGACGAAGGCCCAGTGAAAATGACAAGCGCAAGAGGTAGCTAGTGTTACAAAGCCTAGCACTCTTGCTGCCAAATGCAAAATATTTTTATATCTAATCTTGCCATACTAACTAATCAAGTTTAGCTAGATAGTTTACAGTCGTTGATCTTCAGCTAAACATGTCTAAAAAATCTGATTAGCTACCATGCTGTAATAAGATCATGAATGCTATTGACATGAAGGAACAGGGAGAAAAAAAGCAGCCCCTGTCATTTATATGTTTGCCATTCAAGTTTGAAAAAATCCCTGGTTCATTTTCAGATTTTGCACTAATTTTGCCTCCAGAGCTGCTCTGCATCTGAAAAACATTTGTAGAACAACATTGTGTGAGTGCAAACAACCACAACAGAGGGTTCTGTAAATTACACATCCAGAACCATGTCATAGTCTGTTTCCTTCTTCCTCTTCCCACACTTATTAATGAGCACTGTGTACAAAGTCAACAGTACCACCCAATAGCTTGCATAGACGACAGCCCCTATGACCAGAACAATCTTTTCTGATTCGGGAAAGGGCTTTTTAGTCTGCAGGATTACTGTATAGATAATCCCGATGAAGAGGATAGTGAACCAAACAGATATTGGAATCAGACCAATGAAGTTCACCACCACCGTTTTCCTCCCCGAGGTCCCCCATCCAGACTTGTTGATTGTTGCTATCGCAAACATTTTGGCCGGCAACAGGCTCGACATGTAAAGTACGGAGTAGAACGACATGAAAACCATGACAATGTTACCTCTGAGGCAGCTAGCAAACGAGGCCTTGATCAGTGCCACAGCCTGCACAATCAGCAGAAACAATAAAATATTCCAGAGCCTTCCTTGGTAAAATAGTTGGATCGCCGTGGCGATGAGGAAGAACGGGAAGAAGCCAGTGATCACGGCCTCGTAAGTCATCCACAGGTGGTGCTTGTGAAACCACATGGAGTTGTAGAGCCATTCTCTGAAATAGGACTTGCTCCATCGGGTTTGTTGATTGAGCCAGCGAAGGTACGTGACTGGCGTCTCAGTGAGGCACTTTGATCGAGCGGTATATTTTGTTGCGTACCCGAGGCTTAGGACCCTGTTAGTGAGATGGCGGTCATCCCCAAAGCTGCAGTGGGATCCCATGAAAGTCTGATTGTACCAGTCCTCGATGAACTCGTGCAGGATGGAGTTCCGGTACATTCCCAGAGGCCCGCTGATGCACTGCACACAACCAAAGTAGGACTGGCAGGCCCGCTCAATGTTGAAGGCCATCCAGTACCGCACACTGCTCAGGAAGGAGATCCAAGACTCGTACTTGTTTAGAATCTAGGTAGGAATTGACAGGCAAAACGTTGGAGGTTTAACATAAACATTTCCAATACTATAACATATGACACTTCCAAGGAATAAGAAATTGTTGTTTCGTAACCAACCTGCACATCTCCTCCAACGCCTCCCACCATAGGGTCTTCCTCCAGGACCTTCACCATCTCCACCGACGATGCCGGGTCCAACATAGTGTCGGAGTCACACACCTGAGTGAAACCAACAAAATCAACAGTGAATAAGCTGCCTTTTGAGGCCAATGGTCATTGGTTTCTTAGAAAGGTGCACGCCGTGTAATCAGAAGTGCTTGTTTTTGCCACTGAAGGATTGAAGTTTCTGGCATTAACGAGTCCCGTGAACAGAATAGTGTTGTAAGAAAATCTTGCGAGGTTACATGTTGCCAGAAGCCAAAGGGGCAAACGTGAGTGCCGACTGGGCAGAGTTTCTTGTGTTGGTGTCCGTGGGAAAATTGAATGAGCAAAGAGAAAGAGAAAAGGGGCAGCAGGTAAAGGAGAGTGAACCAGCTGCTCGCAACTCTGGAGACCAGTGGTGTTCCTGTGGCTACTGCGATCCTTTGTACCACAGAAGAAGAACGCTTCAAGAAGTCACTCTTACAATTCAGGCACAATCTGAGTATGTGGCAAAACAAGCACTTTTAGTAAATCTTCAGTTACATTAAAGCTGTAAAAATGCCCTGGAAGCTTGTTTTGCGGCCGTTGGTAACAGCGTTATCACTTAACGCTAGACCAATTTCAATAATCTAATCCCCCGAAGTGTCATTTAGACACAAAGACATCAAAAACAAGACTCCAGGTTAAAATTGGTTACCGACGTTCCCCTTTGAATCAGAGCAGCAATATGGCCAGTGGATAAAAGCCTGCAACAAAGTATAACTACCATCTTTCTGGTCCTGTTGTATCTCTCTCCATACTCCATATAAATGGTAATTGTTTCTGCCTCAAGCAATCAGGGGATGAAAAGCAACCTACAGCCCAATAACCATTAACAAAACACATCTGTTACAGGCCGAGAGTGATAACAATGATAATTGGCATAATCACTCTGATCAAATACAAATATGCTCCTGATTCAAGGCCATGCTATCTTTATCCACCAAATCACTGTTTTTTATTTTTAAATGTAGCGGGTACAGGATGTAAACAGGTTTCCTGAACCTTCATCAGGGCTTGTGTTGCAAAGCTTGCCACTGTGGTTCATACTTTTACCTCACGCTTATATTTTAAGCCACCTCACTGCACAATGTTAACATTATTAGACTCCATGAGCCAGTCAAACGCGCTCGGGAACTGCCTTCTCCAAAGATATGATTCAGATGTCAATAATTCACATTGTCTGTCCTTTCAAAGTTAGACTCAGTTCTGTTACACTTAGTTCTGTTACACAGATCTGTTATTACACTCAGACATTAGCTACCGCTGCCCCTCTTCTCAACCTGATGCATCCACCCAGCCGCGGACCATCTACAGCGAAAGCAACACAGAAGACTCTTTGTGGTCCCCGTGTTTGGTTTGGCAGAGCAACCCCCCCCCCCTCTCCTCTCTCTCTCTCTCTCCAGCCATCTCATCCTCTGTTTCTCTTTCTCGTCCCTTTCCGCTCAAGCTGATGTCTGCTGTCTTACATCCACACAAATTTACACACATACCACTGAATATTTTATTATAATATATTAGTGTCTAGTTTGTACCATTTACAATTCTTTCCTCCCTCAATTTCTTTTTTTCTCTCCCATAGTTTGTGACCCATTCAATTCTTAAAATATAAAAAGGTGTCCCTTTTCTATTTCATTGACTTACTTGAACGTAGTCCATGCTTCGCCCCAGTGCTTTGAAGGCTGTGTACATGACCTCTCTCTTCCCTCCCCACTTCTGCATGATGCACACACACTTGTTGTTGAGGACCAATCTGGTGACCTGCTGCATGCTCTCTGCGTAAGCCTCGTCCGTCTCGCCGGGCTCCTGGCTGTGAAAGTTACTCCGCCAGATGTACGTGGCCGATTTGTCCCGTCCCATGGTCTCTTTGAATATATCCATCATGTACAAGTCATCGTCGTTGTTCCCGTCAATCACCATGATCACCTTGATCCCCGGGTACGTCAGTCTCTTCACCGACACCAGGCATTTCCTCAGGTAGTTTGGGTCCTCTTGATACGCCGCAATGCACAAGGCCAAGGACTTGTTCAGTTTGATCGGCGTCTCCAAGGACCGCCGCATGTTTCGGTGTTCTAAGAGCGCAAAGAGGCTCTGGATGACGAGGTGGACGACTAAGATGGCGCCATAGAGGCCGAAGGACAGGTGGTTGTGAGCTGTTTGGAAGAACTGGTAGCCCATGATGTAGGCCGTGGAGATGCCCACCAGGAGGGACACGCCGAACATGGTGGTGCCAAGTATCCGAAGGTAGGTGAGGACCCTCTGACACTTCATCTAGGGACAGAATGTGGAGACAAGGGTCAGCCAAAGTAGCACAAAAATGACTGGATTTCCCAGTTTAAACTACAGGCTGAATGCCATGGAACAAACATGGGACTGTTTTACATCCATGTGAAATACAACATGAGTCCATTCTGTAATTTGGAGAGAAGAATCGCACATTTCTGTTGACAATGATTTTTTTATACAGCACAAGGAAAACAAATTCATCAGTATAATTTATTAAGCTTTTAGAGGCAGCTCTTCTATTTTTATTACAAGCCAGGTGGAGATGGCAGTAAAGCTTCTCCCCCCTTTTCTAATACTTCCCCTCTACTTGCCTCCCCCCCAAAATCCCTGTCTAAATGTCAGTCAGTTGTGACTGGCCGATTGTTCCAACGCTGCGTAAGGGTGTGTGAGTGGGCGCGCATTACAACCCAATTAAGCATCGAGCCAACAGCCCCTTCCAACCGTGTCAGTGCTCTCTAAAGACAACGTATTATCACTTTCTTTCTCAAAAGGCTTTGTGAGCAAGTAAGTGTGATCGAAGCCATAAAAGGTTGTTCTGTGTTTAAAGATGTGGGGACCATTGAAGAACATTCCCTGCTTTTGTTTCCCAAGTCCAAGCGACAGGAACCAAACTCTGCCAAACTCTTCTGCTCAGAATCTTGAAGTTTGTTTCCAGCTCTCATTGTGTTGCTACCGCCATCTGTTTGGCAGAGCGGCGGCGACCCACTCAGTGCGGCTCAGCTCGGCTCAACGCAAGGCGGACCACCCTGTGATGTCATCTGTTTATATCTCCGTGAGAAGGAGACACAAGCTTTCGGGATTTCTTTACTTGTGCTTCTTCCCCCTCTGCGACTCCCACAGAAAGTAAAACAAGGGCATCCCTTCCCCGACAAAGTAGATGTCGAGAGGGAGATGTGCAGTGAGGATATGGAAAATAACAAGCTTTTCCTCTTCATCGCCTCCTTCTGGGACTTCGCTTTGACACTTTTGAGATTTTGAACTCTTTTTGCTGTCAACACATCAGGATGTGTAAAGTACACGTTACTTTAGTTGAGATCAGCAAAGCATGTAAATAAGTACGAGCAACAAAGTCATCAAAAGCAGAGCGGAGCGCGTGACTCGGCAAGAGTTCTTCACTACGCACCTAAGCACAGAGGACAGATGGGAGGGAGGGAAGCCGTGGAAAGAGACAGAGAGAGAGCGGAGAACAATTGTAAAGACAACCGGCGGGGAGGGGCAGAGGAAGGCAGAGCCAGAGAGA